CACGTGCAGGAACCGATAGTGCTTCTAGCGCTGGTATGTATGTCGCTATGAACGGCACGACTCCTGCACTCTTATCTGATGTCATCCCTCAGACTTTTTGAATTTGGCTGATGACACTGACGCATTGCTGTTCCTTACATGGTATTTTGGGCAACAAGAATGAAAAAACATTTCTGGGAGAAGACGTTTACAGAAAGCTCAAGCTCGCTTAGTTCGGGAGATGGATTTGGTCACATACGTGTTTGGACATCAGCTAACAGCCCTGGAGCGTGAGGGTTGTCGATGTTAGCCTTCGGAGTAAACACGACAACACTATAGTGCAAATAGAAGCTGTCATAGCTCCTTTCATCTTCGGTGATGTCATTGAATCTTCAAAGATGAACGTCATCAAGTCATTATTGCAAAAGGTGAACCATTGGTAGATGCAGTTGTTTTCCCAAACATCACCTGCGAAACCGGAGTAAGTCTTCTGACTGGATCAAATCAATTGTGGAAGGTAATGTCAAATAACAGTGAAGTTCATTGGTTGCCGGATAACATAGCGTCATTCGCTATGAACACGAAAATGGGGGGGGGGGGGGGGACTCTGGAATGTCATCCGTGGAGGAGCAAGGGGACAGTATGCGAGCACTCATATCTCCGTCCTGCAAACAGATGTAACAGATGTCAATAAAAATTAGGATTCATCTTGCTTATCACAAAGGGTTCTGGAGCTCGATACCAGTGGTATTACAGAAAAGACATTCCCGTTGTAAGAAATCGACATGAGAGGGTTCAAAAAAGCCATCAATTTCCAAAATGGTCGCAATTAAATTATACTACCGAGAATATCAGCGAACTATCATGGCAGGGTTGTCATTTCCTTGAAGAAAGAAACAGTTGAACCTTCTGTAAAAAGTAGGAGGCTACACAAGAAAAACTAACATGCGGAGAAGAGGGCCACTGATTAAATGTCAGAAGCAATTTGCCAAACAGGTACAACAAGAACCTCAGTTGTGTGTGATGCCTTTTTGAACGAGGAGGAGAGTGCCTTCAATGTCCAGCTTAAAAAAAGAGTTGAGGACAAAGATACATCTAGTGTGAGCTCTCCCTTCGAGAGTGCGACAACTTCAGAAGACCGTAACTGACCTGAATGGCTGCTGCAATATCAGCATTATGCACACCTCAATCACAGTGGCATGCATCGACGCCATCGTCATGGTCGCCTTTATGGCACTCTCGCTGAGCTATGTGAATGGTTCTGGTCACTAAGATGACACCCACGTGCTACACAAGTGCGCAGTAATCGTGATGCATGCGTGTTATTTTGACTCAATGCTCTCTCAACAGCTACACCACCTATCCAAAATACAGTGTCGCAATCAGAGCTGCATCAAGTCAACAGTGTCTACAGTGTGGGGCCAGTGGTTGTGGGGGAAGACTATCGTGAAAGCCGTGATAGTAATCAACTGAAGTCGAGGCTTTTGATACACATTATTTTAGGACTTCTCTACACTCGTGGAAATAACATGACAATTGTAGCTGATTGTGGGGAAGATTTGTGGAAGGATTTTACAGACTGTAAAAGGCTGCCTTCGGAGAATATTAAGGAAATGTAAGTGAACTTGTCGGGGCAGAGGATGTAGAAAATTCGCGCAACACGGACTGAAGAGACAAAGAAAGGTAGCGGGGCAGAGGCTCGTTTGATCTTGCACTGTCCCAATTTACGCCAAGTTGTGGACGACACTGGTCTGAGCACCAGCAAAGGCTTCAGAAAGATTTTCTCACAAACGCATAACACTTTCGAAGGCAGAAGACGATCACAAGAAGACGAGATCGGCACCTTCAGCAAAAAACGAGGATGATGGCTCGCTTGCTAATGGGTGTACTCACTTTGACAGATCTATGGAATTGTGGTGGCGGCGACTCAGGGAAGGGTGCGGAAATGACCATCTTGTTTTGAGCGCGAAAGCATAATATATGTTGGAGAGCCAAGGAGTCGACACGACAGCTTTAATTTATGTAATGCTGCCCAGCCTGGTGAAATGACTATCTTGTTTTGAGCGCGAAACATAATATGTGTTGGAGAGCCAAGGAGTCGACACGACAGCTTTAATTTATGTAACGCTGCCCAGCCTGGTGTATTCCTTCCAGAAGTAGCTAGAGTGTGTTTTTTTAATTGCATGGCATAATATATGTTGTTTTAAGGAGACTCCTTTTTCTAAATCAACAGCCCAAGCTCGCATGCAATATATGTAGACTCAAACTATAAATGTTTGCCATTTTTTCCACATTAAAAGGGTAGTATATTTTGTAGTCGTTATATAAAATGCAAAAATAATACTGTGTGATTAGCACTGGGTACATGAGACAGCCAGCTATCACTACAATTATATTTTAATTAGTACCCTGTAATGATTTTGCAGGAGTATTAGGGGCATAATTAACCTAAATTATACAGAGTATACTAGTTGAAGTCGTGACATTGAAAAAAGTTCCGAAACACTCACAAGAATACATCTTGTGTGAGGCAGGTATCTTTACAATAACCGAAGAGACAGTGCCTCATTTATGGTCAATGTATAACTAGCTGAAACGAGCCGGGCCGGGCCCAAACATTTCGGGCCCAGGCCGGGTATGGGCTGTATTTAAAAACACCAGGCCGGGTTCGGGCAGGTCAGAGCATGAAGTTTTTGGCCGGGCCGGGCTCGGGTGGGAAAAATCGGCCTGTGCAGAGCTCTACTTCAAAGTGCCATTGCAGAAAAAAAAGTTGGGAGAGGATTCTTTAGCATATTCTTATGACATAGCATCATGAAATTGTTTCATTTGGCTAGCTTGATGAAGTACTGGCGGGGTGGTGTTTCATGGTTGTCTTATCAAGAAAGGCAATGCAGAGGCCAAATTATGTTTACGTACATGATTTGGTGCAACCAAAATGTTGCCAACAACACCTGACACGTGAAGGGCAAAGAAAATTTCCTCAGCCTCCTCGACTCTTTCCACTTCAGTGGAAGCCCAATTGATGTGGTGGATGAGAGTGTGCTCCCTTCGAGTCCAGAGTTCCAAATATGACTCGGAGATGTCAATATATAAGAGCATCTGAAATTTCAATGCTCAAAATCTTCAGTGTCTAATTTTTTGGCTTCGGGCCCAGATTCCCCCCTCTGCCGCAGCTATCATCCTCATATTGGAACAAGCGTTTTCTTGATTCAATGCAATTGCAACCGTAGTGAAGCCAAAAAGGCCACTTTGCAGCAATACTAGAGTGGTATGGGCTGAAGCATAATAAATATTTGAAAGGGCCACTGTTAATTTGACGTTGACTTTATTTGTTTTCGGCAAGTTCGAATAGATTGAATACTAAAATTAAGTGTCCATTGAATCGAAGAGCAAGTTTTATTTGAAAAATATTCAAAATTTTGAGTATTTGCACACGCCTAAATAGAAGGTGATGCAGTAATTTTGTGCGAATGGGCATAAGGCAGTATTTACAAATGGACTTAAGTAGTCTACTGTACAAGCAATAACTTAGCTTGCTACATGCGTATCAATTTCGATTAAACAAGCTAAGGTCGCACAGCGGCTTGTTGATAATCTATTGCATCCGATGTATAGCACATCCAGGACGGGACAGAGCAAGAGACACATTACACGCTAACAGCACTAACATTCAACAATGCAGTTTATTCCAAGAATCAACAGGACATAGTATACCCTAACTCAGTGTGTGCCACGTGGTTAAACAACCAATCGTACATCTAATTTAAATTGTGTCACACTCGAATATTCTATTTATTTACCTCATAATGATATGGAGGGTTTACTAATGCACGTGCTACTAAACTTGTCAATCAATTGCAGTTTTATAATTAGCTTTGTCATTTCATTGTTGCTTTTTCCGATGATACTCGTGTCATTAAAGAGGTGCTGACATGTGTACTGCTTGTCGTGCATTCTGAGAAATTCCTGTGCTCATTGAGCCTCTCTGTAATACTTGTACTGGTTTGATCCACATAGCATGCACCACGCGTTAATGAGATCGGGTAGATGGCTCCTCTGTTGCGAGATATGAGACTGTTACGATGGTTCTTATCGCCTACATTTTTTTCTACATGCTCCCGTTTAGTCTCTTGATCACAGTCGCACTTTTCCTTGCCACGAATTGCCATAATTCCTAGCAATTCACATAACCTGAAGAAAATTACACGACATGGCGACGTGCATTTTTTTGTTTTCTTGGCATCGAACAAGCTAAACAGTTTTTGCCAAAAGACAGAACTGGAGCGCACAGAAAAAGGTGTGTGCTATAAAAACCACCAGAACAGACTTGTGCACAACACAGGAGTCAACTACTGGATATCAATAACATATGGTGCATGCTATGTCAGTTAAACTCGTAGATGTGTTAACGATAGGCTCAGTGACCACAGGAATAAAGTTGCCAAGGCTCAGCAAGAGGGGTTTGTCTCAATCAACTACAAGGAGTGTGCATGCCAACCCCTCTTAATTTACACGAGCATTATTAAAAAAAGCAGCAACAAAATGACAAGGGTAATTGTCAAAACACAATTAATCACCACATTTGGTAGCACATGCGTTAGTAAACCCTTTGTATCATTATCAGCTAAAGAAAGAGAATATTTGAGCGGGACATGATGATTTACATTAGATGTATGATGGGTTGCTTGATCGCATTGCTTCTCACACTCTAGGTAAGGGTGTATATACTGTAGATTTTCGGAATAAACTGCATTGTTGAAGGTTGGTGCTGCATGTGTGTTATGTGTCCCTTGCTTTGTCCTGTCCTGAATGTGCTATACATCTGATGCTATAGATTAAGTGCCCTGTCTGTAATTGTCAGGAACACATAACCATCACCAATGTTGGTCAGCAGTTTTTCGGCTCATAGCTACCACCTCTTCTTTGTCTTGCTGGCATTTAGAAAGCAGTTGAATGACACCTAACAACTTTTTCATCTGCCAGTACTGTCGTTCCATGAGTTCCCACTTTTGCATCTTCAGCACCGCAGTTCCCATGACCAGCAACAGCAGCTCCTTCGGAAGGATGACATTCCCGAGTCCCCTGGCTACACGTGTTATTTCGAGCAACAGCACGATAACAGCACGGTGGGTGTGCACGTTGCAGACAGCATTTGCTGAGCTGTGAGTGGACTGTAGATTGCGCAGCTCGATTATCTCGCATCACATTTTTAAAGGGCTGCACAAAGCAGACACATTAAGGAAAAAGAATTTGCGATCATTCAGTTGAGCTAAGGTGGATGAAAAGCAGAGCTGATAGGCACTATGCCTCCTATAAAAGTTGTCCAAGGGATGAATAAGTGTAGAGTTTCATTTAAACTGTGGCCTTCCCTAAACTGCTGTTTTCAGGCATCACTGGCAGTGTGTCTTCTTTCTAGCATTCATCAGCACTTTAAACGGCCCCTTATTAAAGGGCTCATGGCAAAATGAGTGTTTGGCATGATATTCTTGCAAAGCCAGAATTTTCTTGATGAGTGCAATCTTCTCATGATAGCTTTATATGTTACCCTGCTCAGGGATCTTGTTTCACCACCAGTAAACCACAATATAACAATGAGCAGTAGCCGTTTCAGGCGCATGCCAATGCCACCTTAGAGAAGGCCAAAATGGCAGTTCTGAGCTCAATTAAGGTTTTTGCTTGGAGACTATGTTTTTAAATTGCGACCCTGTGACATGCGTGCAGTAGATAAACATTACTTTATTCCAGTTTGCTCATTATTGTCAAATCGTTCCAACTTGCCTGCAAGGACCTCAGCCCTCTTGATTTGCTGCGTGGAGCCCACTGTGCAGCTTCATGCAGAGTCTGTCTGAAAAGGTTGCTGATCGCTGTGTTATATTATCAAGCATGGACTGGAATGATCTGCTAGTCACATGTCATTTATATTTACTTTAATATCTCAGATTGCTGATGCAGTGTTGTTGATAAATAGTGCCTTAGATCTTCTCAAATATTTATGCAACAGTATAAGTTAAGTTGTTGAGTTGCCTTTAGTGTTTCTTTAACTCATCATAACTACAGGTTTTCTCGCTCACTTTAATCCAAGTGCCAGCCTAAATAATCTGCACACCATTGAAATAATCTGAACGCCGAGCTATTTATTCTATGTGCCAAACATTTAATCCAAGCGCCAACTCACTCAGGCCGCGTGCCATTGAGTTTAATCCAAGTGCCACCGTGTTTAATCCAATTGCCAATGACTTTAATTCAGGTGCCAGTCAGTTTAATCCACGCACAAAAACTAGAATACGGGGCGTAAAAACGGCAGTGCAATTGAAATGCAGTTCCTACAGTATAAAAGACAATAGTCGGAAGGTAGAATCAATCATTATTATTTGTATTCACCGATAGTATTCTTCAAAAAAATTACTGCCGTGGTTCGCTTAAGCCATGTTTGGAGTGCTTGTACTTTGCTATGCGCAAGTTTGCATAATGAGTGCTTGGCCCAGGTGAAATAAATTTAATGAAAACGAAAAAAATGCAGGAACATATTACTGAATATTTTGCAGTGCAATGAAATTCAGTATCCGTCACTGAAGCTCATAATTGGCTTTGGTATACACTACAACATTACATGACCAGGACAGGTCATGTAATGCGAACGACACACCATGTTTATTGGAGTGCCGGAACGCATACTAAGAGATTAAAAGCATGGTCGTAGGCATTGGTGGGTCAGACAGCTACATAATCAAGAAATTAGGAAGCCGTCGCGCGGCACGCACTGTGAATTAGAGATAATTCCAATGTTTTTTTTTCCTGTAGTGAACATAAAACGTAAACTGATCATCTTGATGTAGCAATAGAAGTTTCATTTTACATTATTGTATGCTCTTATTTTTTTTATTCCAACAAAGTTAAATGTCTCCAATGATACGAACAGTACTGATTGTTCGTTTAGCTTGTTAGTTTTGTGACGTACTTGACAAATACGATGAAACGAACACAAAGGAAACGAAATGATAATAACACACAACTGACCTTGGGCCTAGCTTTCTTTTTTTTTTTGCACGGCATTATGCCTCTCATCGCACATTGGAAGCTTGCGGATTCAGTGCAATCACTAAATTATTTGTTCTGTCCCCCCTCTCTATCTCTCCCGACACACACACACGCACACACACACACACATGCGTGCGTGTGTACACATACATACATATACATATACAGGAAAACAAGAGTGATTACTACTAATTATTGAAAAAACGCAACATAGGCACTGGTTATTGTATTTATTAAAACAGAACTATCTCATAGGGCTCAGAGACGGATGTTCACAAGTCATCTTCACGCAAAGCGGCAGGCACAAAAGAGAAATTGTGCCGATCAAAGGCCGCGCAGTCCATGCACTGTATTTGTTGCATGGAGTGGCGAGCCGCATCCAGCAAAGAACGCCTGTGCTCCTTTTTCGTCATGCCTTGCGGTGTCACTAAAACTAAATTACGACGTTCGCTGAGGTAGGCCTTCACGTGTGACTTAAATTTCGAGAAGGCTTCTTCTATAGGGTTAAAGAAAGGACTGTACGCTGGCAGGCACTTAATAGAGTGCATTGAGTTAGCCAAAGCCGCCTGTTCTGCTCGAGCGTGAGCAGGTGCATTATCAAAAAGGAATACAGCTTCGGTATTTGGCTCATCACGTTCTACGCGAGCCGAAACATCACTGAGGAAGTCATTAAAAACAACCCAATGAACTTTGTCCACCACAGTCCAGTGAATAACTCCATTTGCGGACATGCATGCTATAATGTTCAAGTTCACTCCCTTTGTCGTTGTGGTCATGTGCACAGCTGGTTGTCCTTTAGCTGCCCTGCTGAAGTTCCTGGAACACCAGATATTGAAGTTAGTCTCATTCAAATAGAAGCGGCAAATAGAAGCCATTGGGCGTACAGCATGCGGCTGTGCTTGATATCGTCACAGTTGCGATCTGTGGGCCTCTGCGTCACTAGCTTCATCGAGTAGCAGTGGGCATTCAGCAAGCGGTCGACTGTGCTTGCACTGATTGTTACTCCTGGCATTTCTTTCTCCAGGGCCTCCTTTATTTGCTTCAATGTAAATGTACAGTTTTCGTCGACAATTCGTCTCAAAGTACTCACGAAGTCATCTCCAAATTTCTTTTTTGAACCCCCACCATGCTTTGATGTTTCTCTGTCGGTAGCGGCAATCAATCTTGCTGTTTTAATGTTGATGCCTAAAGCGTCGGCCAGTTGCTTTAAGTCACCGCCACGCCTGTAAACGTCCACAATCCTAGCCCTGTCGACCACCGATACTCTGCTGTTTTTTCGACGAGGTTCGTCGAGGTTCTTAAAGTGTGATCCTCGTTTGCGTCCAGCCATGACTTCAAGCAAAGCTCTCTCTTCGTCTGCAAATGTTCCCGTATGAAAACACACGTTTCAAGTAAACACGCTTCAGCTACACTAAGCATCGTCTGTTACATGAAAACCGGAGTATCTATTTTGATGATTTTATAACAACTTATTTCCACATGAACCCGATTAAATGCAAGTTTGGTATTTTTAAGTGGTTATTTCTGATTTCAAGAAGGAATTAATATCATCTGTCGGTCACTGTTCTCCCTGGGCTGAGCAGACGACTTTGGTAGCCTCAGCGCATAAGTAGCCAAATGCCGTCTGCTGAGCAGACGACACGAATCTATACATGTGCGATGGTGTAGATAGTTAACCGGAATGAAGCAGTAGCAATGCAATAAAGACTAACATGAACTCTATGAGCAAATACATTTAAGTACCCATAAATGCAATTACTACTGACAGTTTTTTTTATTTTGAAGCTATGACACCAAAATGTTAAGGGGAAGTCGCACTGCGCACTTCATTTCATAAGCCCTACCATGTATAGCCGAGGGAAAAGTTCTTGCTGTTATGCCATGTTTACGTTATTCTGACATTTATACTATATATAGTGGCTAACTGTGTGTTTCTAGCGCATCGATTAAACTGACTGGCACCTGAATTAAAGTCATTGGCAATTGGATTAAATACGGTGGCACTTGGATTAAACTCAATGGCACGCGGCCTGAGTGAGTTGGCGCTTGGATTAAATATGTTGGCGCTTGGATTAAATATGTTGGCGCTTGGATTAAATGTTTGGCACATGGACTAAATAGCTCGGCACTCAAATTATTTCAATGGCGTGCAGATTATTTAGGCTGGCACTTGGATTAAAGTGAGCGGGAAAACCTGTAGTTATTACAAAAAACACAATGCAAAAAACACAATTCTCTGTTCGTTTGTATTTCTTGTGTTGTTTTCTTGCACTATATATGAAGTTGTTATGGATAAGAAACTACTAGCCTGTCAATGTATTCTGAATCCCTTTAACCTGTCTGATCACTGACAAAGTCCATGTTAAAAGCATCTGTCAATGACAAAGTTTAATGGAAATGCATTCTTTGCAAACATTGTTAACCATTATTTTCCTTGCGTTCCATTTTTTCTCTCTCTCACCTGCCATCTTTCTATTCCTTCCGGGCCTTTCGATTCTCCCCCCTCACACAGAGTAAAATGGAGGCGATCAGACTGGTCCCGGATGAAGGGCTGATTCTTTAGTAAACACCCTCTGTTACATTCTTTTAAATTCTAAAGTGTTGCCGATGGAATCCGTCACTCTGAAATGGAAATGCAGTACTCTCTCCAGTCGCATTTGCTGCACATGATTCTGGCTCACTCCGCAATGTTAGCTGACTGTGTAGTGCAGTGCCAGCACATTCCGGCACCCCAATACATGAAGTGCATCTCATTCATGCGCTGCTCTTTATTTATGTCAGCTGTTGGCCAATACCATCCTATCTGCTTCTTGACGTCAGGCAGCAGGTGCCAGCAACTCCAAAGCAAGGGAGCTCAGGCCTCTGTATGAAAATGAGAGCGCCTGAGTAAATGACAAATTCGTGATCCGCTTCTGACCTCTTATTGCAACTCATGACTGTAAGAAATGGCTGAGCTTTTTATAGCAGTGTTGCCTTTCTACAGGATGTGTTTTCTCATCAAGCCTGAGGTGTGCTTCGTGATCCCTTTGAGCAGTAGCATGGCCTCCAAAGTGGCAGGTGCACGGCATTTTTTTTTTTTTTTTTTTTT